AGTAAACGACAATCGGCAGTTAATTCCGCTATTAAAGCAATCTTATAAGGTCATGCTCGTATCAATAACAAACTTTGTTATTGAATAGGATGACATAATTAAAACATGTTTACAATTACAAACATGGAAAACTAGCAGGAGGCCTAATTTTAATCCCTTTCCCTTACCACCCTTTTCTTAAGAGGAATGGATGGGAAGGAAAAGGGGATTTAACGGCGGAGGAGACGCATAAGAAGGGGAAATGTCCTCTTAATGTGCGTAAAGAGTAGGTATCGCATCTGATATTGTGGATATTTATGGGCAGCGGTCGCTTTCCATTTCGGCGGATTCAGGTAGCCGCTTGCTCGTTTGCTACTTTATATTATAAAACTAAACTATAAGAAATTTTTATGCATTATATTTAACCCTACGACGGAGTTTTTAGATATGAAATAAGCTAGTTTAGTGGATCTTTTTAAACTAGTTGGTCGTCACACTGGCCACTATCGAATTATCGAATTAAGGGTTAAAGCTTTGGTACGGTACATAAAACTACGAAGTGACCTGAGTCTTAACCATAGACTATAAAAGTCTTCATTACTACTACCAGATGCATAAACACGATGTAAGAATTGAAATTCAACCAATGAAAGTCAAACGTTGTAATTACATCAACATGTATTAAATAAACTACTTAACTACTTCTTTAAAGTACTATCAACCTATACAGTTCGTCTATAGCCAAATGTATTTATTTATCTAATCTCAGTTAGCAATGTCAAAATACATATATCATGATTTATTCATCGCTAACGGTATTTGCCTACAAGACCCTAAACAATGTATAAAAAACCAATAATTTATAGATGCAACTGTAAAACACCCACGACTACAAATAAGAGGGACAGCTGTCCCTATAGCATTGTACATTTCTTCATCTTTATAAAACGCGTGGGTGATTTCTACAAGTAAATTCAAGGTACAGTGTGGCTAGGCTTAGGCGAAATTCAAACTGTGGTCATTTTAAAATAGCCAGTTTTAAATTTAGATAGATCATTTGATATTAATCAGACATGGCCGAGACTAGAAATTTCGCCTATGACGAAAGTTGCATAAAAGAAATGAAATAACTTTCTCGATTCTATTCCATTGAATAAATTTATAAAACACGCAACATCCATTCATCTTATCAAATTAGTTCGGAATTTGATTACAAAAGTCATTAATACGCTAATTAATTGATTGCCTCCTATTACGTAAGAATGTTTTCTATCGTTAATTAATATTATTGGTCGTAAAACATTTTTCATGCAAATTAATATTTCAAAATAAATTATCGACCCCGCGTTATTATCTCTGTCCTTACCATACTCTGTAGAATCAGCGCCATCTGTTGATAAGATATTGACATTGGTTTTAACATATTTTGTTCATAAAATACGTTATATTATTTATGTTTTCTTCGTTCTTTCAATGTTATAATAATTATTATATTGTTTAGTTTGATATAAATTTAACTGCGGAAGCGTAGGTCATTGCCATGCGATAAAACAACGACTGGCGTCCGCCTTGCGTCGCTTCTATTGATACCCACTGATACCGACTTGCATCTAATTGTACAATTATCTTGTATCTATCTAAATAAGACTGACAGAAACTTCAATCCCATTAATACTTCGATTGCCATAAATCGTAAGTTTATCATTGTGTATATACACAATGATCGTATATACGATAAAAATGTATTTTAAAAATTAATGTAAAAAGTGCAACTTTTTGGTATTTGTCTAAATACTAGCTGTTACGGGTAACGTTGTCCGCGTGAAATAAAAAAAAAACATTACCTTATGTTCTTCTCCCTTCCGTTAATATTTTGTCTTGTTATGTGAAAACGATAACGGCGGATCCAGGGGGGTCTTGGGGGGTTATGACCCCCCTGAGCTGGTAGGTCAAGAGCTTGACAAATTATATTTACATATTTTACATATTTAACTCTTGACTTGACCACGACTATGTTACCCCCTCTGGCGCCAAAACTGGATCCGCCCTTGGATAATCCATCTATCCATCCTTTTACATTTATAGTAAGACTAGCTTTCGCTCGAGACTCCGTCCGCGTGATATTAAAAAAAAAACAAAAGTGAATAGCCTATGTGTTCTTCCAGACTATCTTCTACATCTGTTCCAAATTTTATCGAAATCCTTTCAGCTTTTTAGGCTACAAACTCTAACAAGCATCCATCTATCCATCCATCCATCCATCTAAACTTTCGCATTTATAATATTAGTATGAAGTATGATTTCTATAACTCGTTACGTATGTTCAAAGTCCAATTGAAAATTATTAACGAAGTAGGTGACATTCAATTTCTGACACACATTCAATTTAACAACATATGAAATGTAAACAAAAACATTGGAATCAGTTCGCTGACTTCGCGTACAAAGGTCGGGTAATACGTAATAGTGAAATATAAACATTGCCCGTACAATCAATATTTACACTTCAGTTTATAATCCTGAATAATAAAGAGTGGTTGTTCTGAATTATTCGTTTAAACTAAATGGGATACAAAAGTGTATCACCGCAGGAGTTGTGTCCCAGTACCGTGTTTGGTGTTATAAAAAATGTAAGAAATATCAACACGGTTTCGAAACATGAAACATAATTAAATTCGAAATAAAACGCGCAAAAAAGTTTTATAAACATATTTTTCTATTTTTAATTTTTTTAAAATTGACAATACACATTTCTTAATTTTACATTGTAATATTTATTAGTAGTTTTATGTGATTAAAAAAATTTATTAAACATTATTATTTTGCATATGTTAAAGTATTCTTTATACAACCATACGTACTTCAAATGCCGTAACCTTTGACCTCATAATTCATATTGGACTTTGTTCCGTTATTCATAAAAATCATGTAATTTATTTAACATATTTCTTGTCACAAGATGCAATTTGATGCACAACAATAACTTGAATATAATTTAAACGTGCCTCAAACGTACTTGACTTTTCACATTCATTGAGGACAATGTTATCGTCAAATAATTTATCGATGTACAAATTAAACAATATTGATAAGAGATTAATATATATTTCCTATATCATTTCAGATGGATAGCAGTTCAGAGGCGATGGAACTGCGGCGGGAACTGGACGCAGTCAAGAGCGCCCTTCAACAACAGTCAGAGTCCGTCTTGAAGCAGAGGCATCAGCTCGTCGAGGCAGGGCAAGCTCTCGTCGCACGGAACAAACAAGCCGCCCAAGAAAGACGACTTCGTCAAGACCAACTAGCTCTCGTCCTACGATCTCTTGTCCTACTAGAATCCCGACTGACGAGGGAACAAAAGCAAATCCAAGTTTCCCTCCAACAAAAGGACAAAATCATTAAATCACAACAAGAGGAAATTATAAAACTCAAAGCCCGAAAGTCGTACTGCAGCAACTGTCAGCAACTTCTCGGGTTCACTAGCGAACAAACAAATATTGAGACAGATCCAGAATTCCATAGTTTGGAGAGCACGGACTCTAGATTTCCTAATACATTCGTGAGGAGTTGTAGTTACCGCGAGAGAAACTCTCCACCAGTGTTCCAAAAGAATACACGATTAAGTAAAAGCTTTCAACTGCCGAAGACCGATGTCACTTATGGCAATTCGAGCTCGAGTGAAGAGGGTAACACTGCTAGCATCGGCAGCAAGGGAACATTCATTAAAAATAAGCAAGCGTTCGTAAGACGTGATGTATTTCGAAGATCTAGGAAATATTCCGGACGTAAGAGCAACGGTAAATTTACCGATAACATGCAAAAGAGTTACATCAATCAAAATAATAGCAGCAGTACTGAAGAATGTATAAGTATGAATTATAGAGTAAATCAAGATGACAATGACTCGACAGTTAATCTAATCGCAAACGATATTCGACGAGCTTCGTTAAAAATAGATCAGTTAATTGGAGAGGCGGCGAAGAAGGAATTAGAAAATACTCAGAGTGATTCCGATAAGACGTATTCAACAACGATGGAACGATTGCACGGAATTAAAAGACAAGCATCTGATGAAATCAAAGCTAATAGACAACTCTTCTTAAATAATGTCCTCAACGAGGAAAATAATGAGAAACCTTGGTACTGTAATGTCAGCGATCCAGAAAATGATGCGGATGGCCTAGACCAAAGAGTGTTATTTAATAGTAACAAATTGAACAAAAACAACGAATTTGGAATCGCTGAACATAATGGAATTCAAAATTCTGAAATTACATACGCAAAGAATGATGTGTTATGTAACAATGTATTAAATAACACAAATGATAATTACAGTTTAAAATTTGACGACAAAAACAATAACATTGAAGCAAATATAGCCAAACAAACAGCCGTTACAGAAATAAGCGAGAATTGGTACGCCAGTACTAGTGATGCTGATGACACCCCACCTAATGAAATATACAAAAACAATCCAGTACTTGAATGCGTCAATCAAATTTTGCTACAAAATTCATTAGATGATAGCAGCAATGACAATTCAAAGTCCAGCGAGTCTCCAAGTCCTAAAGCAGCGACAAAACGCGTTCAGTTTTCTACTTTGAATAGTATATCATACGACGACAAAGTCAGAACCAGTGGTAATAATAATACCTTACCAAGAACCGATAAAAGAGCTAATAAAATCGTTAAATTCAGTCTAGAGACTGCCTCGGAGCACAGTTACGAAGTACCTAATACCGCTGAAGGATTTCAATATGAAATACAAAGTATCTATAGCAATGAATATGAGCCTATAGTTACGAAATCTATGGAGCAAAAATCATTACCAATACAGCGTATGGTGCCAAACGTTGAGAAGAATGTGCCCAAGATAAGAGGATCAATGGTTAAAAACATCGCTGCCAATATCGAGAACAGAAATAATATACTAGAAAGAAGAATAGACAACAATTTTGGATCAATGAAAACATTCAACAAAAGAAAAGTGCCACGAACTCCTCCCGCATTGCCGCCCAAGCCAAAGAACTTATCAGCCAAATTAAGAGCTGAGACCGCTGTCAAATCGACAGAATCTTTAGACTCTGAAGCCGTTGCGGCCAATCAACGGGTTGCAGACGTTAAGATGAGGAAAGTGGGACAAGTAGCAAGCGCTAAGAATGTAGAACCGGACTACTGCTCCATTTCAGAGATAAATGTTCCAGTAGTCAGCAATGGTAAGAGGGAATTGCTACTCACACAGCCAACGGTAGAGATTCATAACGAACAGTACCCGATACATGCAGTCAACCAGAGAAACAGCGTGGCCAAAGTCATATCGCTACCTAGAATCCAAAACAAAATTAGCGACAAAGACATCCCTAAACTTCCTCACGTCACTGAAATTATTATCCCCGATGAAGATGAGAAACCAACCGAAGAACAACGGTCTTTTCCAAAATCAGCGGACGGTTACTTGACTAATTTTAACATGCATCCTCTACAACCAAAACTAGACTCCCGCGCTTCCATACAAATGGGAAACACGGTATCTTCAATACTTTCAGAAATTAACCGAGGTGTCAAATCTGGCGTCAAACAAATAAACCTCACAGATTTAGACAATCAGTTCCCACATCACGGTTCTGAGAAAATGCACGTTAACACTGAACCTCGTAAACCTGCATATTTAGATGACATAGATAAATTTGATTTGTCGCAGGATTTTGAAGAGTTTAAGATAGATGACGAACTCGGCAGTATTGTCGCTGAAGAGTATCGCATAAGCTCCGGCAGCAGCGACGGCTCGGCCTCTGACGTCATCACCGAGCTGCACACCATTGTACCTGACACCAACCAACAAAATACAAATGATAACGACAACCCAAAATCTGATACTTTTCATGACAACAACGACAACGTAAACAAGGGCCTGTCAAAAAATGCTAAGCTTTCCAACAAACCTGATCTCCTTTCTAATATAGAGAATTTAGAGACTGAATCCGTGAGAAACTCTGATATAGAGTCTAGTAATTCTTCTGGCAGCAACAGTGGTTCATACAACACAGTTAAATGTGAGCCGAGGATGATTATTAACCAAGCAGAGTTAAATGTGACTAAATCTAAAGGATCTTTCGATTTCTTTCTAGAAAATTCTGGTCTGAGTTCAAAGTCTATTTTTGCACCGCCCAAGAATTACATCATTAGACCTCCAAGTGCCAACCATAAGAATGTTTTAAAGCCTAGAGACGTTAAAATGCGTGTAAGGAACCCAATAACAACGAACACTATCAACGAAAAATCTATGACTACCGCTATTAAATATTTTGAACCTTATGTTTAATATTTTAATTACAAATGTATTTTATTGTTTTATTAAACTTATTATAAGACGTTTAAACTTATTTATTGTAGAAATGAACTTGCCTGCATAATGTAATTGTATTTATATTAATTAATTTTGTAAATATTATAACTGTTCTAGTTTTTCGAGGAAAATATATTAAAAATTGAATCTATATGTTTTATTTATCCTTTCAACGATATGCATTGAAAACTCCAATATATTTGTAAAAATAATTTTGTTACATCATACTTCATACTAATATTATAAATGCGAAAGTTTAGATGGATGGATGTTTGTTAGAGTTTGTAGTCTAAACGGCTGAATGGATTTCGATGAAATTTGGCATAGATGTAGAGGATAGTCTGAAAGAATACATAGGCTACTCACTTTTGTTTAAACAATTAATGTATCTTTGACGAAAAAATAACTGGCAATATTAATATTCAGAATATAATTTAGACTTGAATTAATAAAACTGAATTGTTAAAAAATATTGTTTATTAGAAAACTTATGAATGTAAATAAAAATGTACACAGAGTTAACATTTCGGTTAATTTGACATTAGGAAAATAAATACAAAATCCCTTCCTACAATAATAACAAAGAACAGATTATTTTTTTTATAATAATGTTTTTGTTCGGGTATCCGGTAGATGGCGTTAGGGAACCACGTAGATTTGTAGCAAGCTCCAATTGTAAAATTACTATAGATAGGGAAATGGTATTTATTTCCGTTTGTTGTATCTATCGACCATGACATTAGATAAAAGTATGACGTTGGTATGGTAGAAACTACGAAGAAAGTAGAAACAGATTTTTAATGATAAAATAATCAAGGAACAAAATTAAAGTTGCACTAACCTTACTCTACAGTCTGTATTATTTGAGAGGTTATGTACAACTTGATCTAAGCAACACATTTAAAATAAACTTTAAAAGTTTTAGCAATAGAGCAGAAAGTCTACATTTAATCATAAATATAATTGGTTTTATAACAAAATATAAATTAATCACTAATAAGTAGGCTTCAGGACAGATTTCAATCGCGGGTTAGGGCTGTAATCCGGATTCGGAGTGTAGGGCTTTGGTGGAGTGGGTCTCAACATCGCAGGCGTTAGACCTGGGTCCTCGGAATATGAGAACGGTCGGGGTGGCATTGTCCCCGCACGAGGATGCGAGTCCTGCCCTGGAAAACGGTTCCCCTGCATGAATTCCCAATTAGATGACCGCGGAGGCCCTTCGTTGTACATATAGCCAGGGTGGGCGTTACTGGAACCTAGAGTCGAAGTCCAACCTTGTTGTACCGGCCATGGCTCATTGTAGCTTGGTTGTTCGAACGCATTTAAAAGTCCTCGGCTGTGGATTGAATGATGCTGTCTTTCCTCTTCGGCATTTTTACTGTGCAAGTAATAAATCAATAGTACCAACAGCACCAAGTTCACAGCGTGTGCCACAAACCCTTTCATTGTCAGCACCATGAGTAAGAACGCACCGATTCTCAAGGTGTCTATCAGATAATTCGTCGGTGCCAATACAGAGTTTGCGTTCAGTTTTTCCGTAAGCGTTGTGTAGTCGGAGCCGAAATGTGCTGCAAAAGTGATGTCGACCACAAGCACAGCGAGACACAAACCGGTATGCACGTACGCACCAAAGTCCAGGTAGAACCAACATCCCCTGCTAAGAACTGCTATAGTTAAAGATATCGCAGCAACGAGGCTGGCAGCCGACACCGCCAGAGACACTGCGGTGAACACGAACACAGATTTGGATTCCGTCAAATCGTCGAATGCTAAAAAAGTTTCACAGCTCTCATCTTGAATGTATTGCTTGTAAATTGAAATTAGTAGATAATCGGAGGTGTTCACTATGGTTTGAGCAGTGTTACAGTCGAATCTGAAGATGAGCGCAAGGCAGCACAGTATGATGTAGATGGTGGACGTTACTCCGCTTATAGCACACGACAGTAGCGCTACCACCATAAACTTCCCCGTCGCGCCCATTGCGAACAAACTAATTCACAATGAGTAACCGCGCACAAGCGAATCACAACTGATTAATAACGTTATATCAGCCTTTAATCAATAGTGATAATTTTTATCTTTGTTATAGTGCTATTCGAGGGACGTGGGCATTCTATTCGAAGGGTGTCCATTACAAGCTATCATTTTGTATTTTGAAATATACATCATTGAAATATTCTTTATGTGGAAATTCTCTACCCTATTACAATCTAAATAACAGAATGATAAACAAGTCTTTGGAGTTTGTATTTGAAATTAGTCGAAGAATTAAAAATTGGTTTGTTTACAAGAGTTGTTTTAGATTTACATGCTATAATTTTTAAGTAGGAGTTTAATTTTATTATTGTTGGCGATGCAATAATCCTTTTTGTATTTTTATTTTTAATCCTTTTTTAAAAATAAGAATGCATATTTTTTTATTAATTCTTTTGTAAATATTTGAAGCAGTGTTCGAGCAGATGTCACAACGCTAGGCTGAAATGTGTATATTTTTATTAATTTGTAAATTTTATTAAAAGTTCTTTAGTTTTGGTTTATTTCTTATTTATTTTACTCGCGCGTACCTTCCCGTACAAGATCGTCTCTTTCAATTATTAATTAAAAATTTGTACAATACTTGCGAAAAATTTTGATGATTAATTAATAAATTAATTGTATTAGTGTTTCATATTTAGAGGAAGGGTTAATTAATTAGTTGAACAATCACTATTAAACGTATAAGCGATTAGGACATTTTACTATTATTAATAAATGTTTAATTTGAATTTTTAAGTGTTATTATTTTCTTATTCATGTTAGACTTATTAAAATTGAATAGAATACAGAATAAGTGCAGGAAATAAATAGATAAATAGATTGTTTGTAAATTTTAATTTAATATAAACATAGTAAAAAGGCAAAAGCATTCTAAAATAAGATTAAAATGAATTATCGAGATTAATAACAATGCAGTTAATACTATTAATATAAATAAACTTATAAACATATCGCAACATTAATAAATCTCTCCGTTGTAAGTTTAGAGGTAGTTTATTTTGCACATCACACGTCTGGCAGCGAAAACAGTTCATAAATTACTATCTTAATACCTAAATACCGACTACTGACCATAGTCGGGGTTTGGCGTAAAAGGCTTCGTTGCCTTTGGTTTGATCCTGAGCATAGTCGGTGTCAGTCCCTCCGAATAAGTGAACGGCCGATGCGGAGAAATCCCAAAATATGTCTGTCGTTTTAAGGGCAATTGTAAAGAGGTCCCAGGCAAAAATTCACTATCTGATTGTGAAACTTCTTCGTTACACAAACTAGGTTGTTCGTTTTTAACAGGCTTTAGAATCGATGTCTTCTGTATCTGAGGGTATACTTCTTGTGACAACGCGATTGAAACTCCTGGGCTGTGGTTCGAGTGTACTTTCTTATCTTCTGCATTCTTGCGATGCAAATAATATATCAACGGCACCAGCAGCACCAAGTTTATCACGTGTACCACGAATCCCTTCATAGTCAACACAACGAGAAACAATGCACCGATTCGCAGCATATCTACTAAATAATGATTTGGCCCATTCACGGTGCTTACATTCAGTCTGTCTGTAAGAGTGGTATAATCTTTCCCAAAATGCGCGGCAAATGTGATGTCAACTACTAATGTCGCTACGCAAAAGCCAGTGTGCATATATGTACCAAAATCCAAGTAATACCAACAATCTCTGTTGAATATCGCTACAATAAGAGATAAAGCAGCTGCGAAGCTTGCAGCAGTTATCGCTAAAGACACTGCGGTCAACACGAACACTACATCAGAGTTCGTTAAATCAGCCATAGATAAAGAACCGACACAAGTATTATCTTTTATATATTGTCTGTGAATTAAAAGGAGTAGATAATCAGAATTGTGCACTATTGTTTGGGCGATAGAGCAATCGGACCGGTAGATTAGCGCGAGAAGGCACAAAGTTATATAGATGACGGATACCAATGTGGTGATGCCGCAAGAAAGCAATGCTATAACTATGAATTTTCCTAACGCAGCCATTGCTAAGAAAATAATTCACAATTCACACACCACGCACAAGCGAAAAAACAACTGATTATGAACGACATATCAACTGTTAATCAGTATTGATAATTTTTATGTCTGTTATAATGAAATGAGATATTCAAAACACGGGAGTTTTTGCGAAGGGTGTAAAAACTAGCGTGTTCAAAACAGTTGGTAATAACAAAGAGCTCTTAAATAATAATAATAAAGAAAGACGTATATATAAGAATACAGCTTTTATTTTAGATAATAAATAATTAACAGATATTTATAATATTTACAATAAATCAATACAAACATAAAATATTCTTCCTTAGCTCCACAGCCCTTTATGGACCTTTCCTAAGTAATTTTTCCACCTAAGTCTATTTGTAGCTAATTTTCAAATCGTTAAACTAATTTTTGCGTCACGATTTACATCACCCATCTTAGCTTTAGTCTTCCTCTATCTTCAGGATTGCTCGCTGTAAGGGACACCCCGACTTCGCTCATCTGCATCCAGAACAACGTTGAACAAACAACATGAAAGTCCTTCTCCATCATAGATTAGTTGTAAATGGTTCAGAGAGATCAGAGATCGGTTTAGTAAAGATCGAATACTAGTTTACAATTAATCACGACTACAAATTCGTCGCAATTTTCTCTTCACGTTCATAAATGTTGGAACTTTCAGTTGTGTGAAGAAATTTGATGCCTTTTTGCTTGCATTTTGTCTCTCCCTTTTTCCTTCTGAAGTATCAAGATCACTGTTTATTATATCAGAGCATTCACTTGTAGATACTCTTGTTATTGATATATTCGAAAATGAATCACACTTTGTAACATTCGTGGTTAATTTTCTTGCGGAATTTTCGATTCTTGAATAGGGTTTTGGTCGATTGCGTCGAAGCGTCTTTAAATATTCTTCCGAAGAAAATGTTGTCGTTTCATTATCTACTATTGCTGGAATACATTTGGTTATTTCTTCAGGATAATCCAAATCAATTGTTTTACCCCATTTGCGATCCAAAGCACGGAATGCAACACTCAAATGTAAATGCAGATCCATTTGTTTAATATCACTGGACTTGTGACTTGAATAAAGTCTGGTAAGTTTATGATTGAATTTAAAAAAAGATTAGTATTTAAATGCTTTATTTATCCCCACCCCTGTAGATGTAAGAGTAATTAAAAATATTAATTAAATAAAGGGTTAATTAAATAAAGCACTACATTTAATTAATTAACCCTTTATCTAATAAACGTGTAATTAATAACAAGGTCACTAATTGGGGGTAATTAATTAAGTAAGGTTATAATTTAAAGGGTTACTTTAGTACAGAACTGTACTTCAGAATACTATTAACACTAATAATAAAAATTTCAAATATTCATATTGAAAAATTGAAAATTGAAACCTCTACAGATATAAATAAAATTTAAGTGTATGTGCATTTTATATTTAAAAAAATCCTTTCTTAAATTTGAATTACTTTATGCAAATAACGTTTTTTACAAGCTATGTTTGTTCAGGGTAGTCTCCTAAATAGCTAGACTGAGTTTATCATTAGCTAATGTATGTATATTGTGGGCTACTTTATAAAATTCAAACTGACAAAGTTGGGAATAACCACCAGTCAGTTATAAAAATGAACTCTTAAAATAACATAAATAAATTTATTTCCATGGAAATTATTTTGTTTATTTTACAGTTTTATTAACAATTTGTAGTGCTTTCATTTCTTTTTCTTCTTAACTGGAGCTTTCTTGTTATTTTTCAAATCTTTCTTCTGCACCTGAAAACCAGATATGTCGTTAAATTAAAAATATTTGTAACTAACAATCATTTGCTACACTAATTAATTAATTGCAGTAAAATTTTGCCCAATAATGATGCTGTATGCTGATTTCTGTGCATTGTAAACAGGGGATTAAAAAAAATTGATAGTGTTACCAGTAGATGTCAAATATCTTGATGGCTAAAAATCATTGAAGTCCCTAAGCAGAAAACAATTTTAGAACATAAAAGACTGTGGTTCGGGGACTGTGAAAAATACATATAGCCTTGGGCTGCTAAGATTAACATAAAAAAACTTATACTAACTTTTCCATAGCTATCTAAGAAATGTCCGACATCATTATTAGTTCCCTTCTTTTTCTTTTTACCAACAGTTTGCAAAATAGTCTTTGATATCATAAGTTGTTTCTCTTTGCTCAATTCTAATTTTTCTTGTTTTCTCTTTTGCATTAACTCTTTGTAGTTTATGTACTTTCTTTTAGGTGGTTTAGCTCCTGGAAATTAAGTTTTATATAAAAATACATTTATGGTACAAAAGTTTTGTTTTAATTCAGACAGCCAGTCTTAAAAATTAAATCAAAATATGAGGTTTAAAAACCTTATACAGCAAGCCAACTTGTGTGGTTTAAAGCAAGGAAATAATGAGTGTTACATCGTTTAATAAATGTAATCCTTTGTAACACTGAACATGTAATAAATAACATCACTATGGCTAACCTAAACTGACTGCTAAAGCAATTTTTGCTTCTTCTTTCTTAGTTCCATCAAAGCCAGACATTCCAAACTTTACAACCTCATGACGTATCTTTTTAAGATCTAAATCTTTCTTTGTATTCGATGTTGGGTTATGCTCATCAGTCTTGTTTTCATGTTCTGAGGTTTGTTTCTTTTTTGGTTTGTGTGATTCGAATTTAACAACTTTGAAATTGCTATCCGCGTTCTTTAACGCCAACGCTGCTTTCGTTAACACAATTGACATATTTAAAATCGAACTAACACCAATTTATTTTAAAAAGCTTAATTACGTTTATTCAAGTTTATTTCAAAGTTTACATTATGTGCCATGTGTTTTTGTTTTGACAGTTACAGTGATAGTCATGTGTCCAAAGAACAAAACATCCTAAAGAACAAGTAACTAAATAATGCTTGCTTTTTTTAGCTTAATTAAGAAACTAACGTGATAGAGAAATTTGGTTGACACCAATAAACCTGATCTGCTAGATCTGCAGGCTAAGGACCTAAGTTTTTTCTCATTTTTCTATCAGACTTTCTGCCGTATTTTATTTACTATACTCTGGCAGCATTGTAATCAAAATAATCAAAAGTGAATTGATAAGGAAATGTCAATGTCAATCAAATGTGAACATTTCACATCGTTTAAGTTTATTTTTATTTTTATTCAGGTTTACTGAAGGAATATCAAAAACATAACATATAATCAGATTTCCGTTTAGTTTATGTTAAGAATAACTTATGGATTGAAAAATATGCGACGGACTAGCTAATAATAGGACACTTTTTTAATTTGATATATCTCGTTGCGGATGTGTAGAGACGCAACTAAAAATAATGTTACCGATGTTGAGTATAAATTTAGCGGCACAGGTATTTAAGCCAACTGTAAGCTGAATAATATAATAATTCGCTCAGTGGTCGAGCGATAAGTTCGCAACAGTAAAATACACATTCCAAAAAAAACTATATTTGATCGCTATTATATGTTGTAGAAGTTTTGTAATTTCGTTTAAAAAGCAGATTAATAGTATACAGATATGAAGAACGATTTTAAATTTTCGGATACATCTGTAAAAGCTGGAGATCTTTTATTAAATGAAAATCCATTTGTTTATGTTCTTTCTTCTAAAGAAAAAGGATTAAGATGTGATAATTGCTTACAAAAGTAAGTAAAACTGAGGTCTCATGTAGTTTTAGCTTCGTAAAGCCTATTTCCACAGTTAAAAATTCACTTAAACACACTTGCAACATTATGTAATTTTTCATTCATATAGTAGATGTTTTAATTTATATTTATTGAAAACTATTACTTGATTATTTATTGTACTATCTTAACTTATAAAATATATTAGAGACTTCTATATACATTATGTAATGCTGAATGTGTTCAGGTTAAAGGTGCTCAAGTGTTCGGGATGCCAGTTTGTACATTACTGTGGACGAGTGTGTCAAAAGGAAGCTTGGAGTGGACATAAGGTAAAGAACTAAGGTTATCAATAAAAGGTTTAATCATGTCCTCTTGAAACATTAAAAAGTTTTACATTTTTAAAATAGTTTGCACACAGGGAAGATTTCTATTTTTGTATGTTAATAAACTCAAAAACTATTAGGACAATTTTTATAACCATTTTACCATTAATGTGCTATTTTATGATTGACTAATACAAGGTATATTTCATCATTGCAATATTATTTAATAAGCTATATAAATTTTTATGTTTTTTTTTATTTCATATTTTAGTGATATTTGTAGCAATTTTTCTAAGGTATATATTTTGTTATTCAACAGTGGGAATGCGCTAACTTGAAAAGAGTAGCACCAAAGATAATACCTGATGCTGCTCGTATGCTGGCCAAGATTGTGAACAGGCTAAGCCGTGGAGATGGCCACACATATCGGGCTTACTATACAAAGACATCGTTTCGAATGTGGAAGGATCTTATGTCGCGTAAGTGTAATATTCTGTATTTTTTGTTACTGAAAAAAAGTTGGCATAGGTGATTTTTTTTTAATAATTGCAAAATGTAACATAATAAAATTAGTCAGTTGATTTAACATATATATAACACGCTAGCTGTTGCTCGCGACATCGCCCATTTGAAATTAAAAATATACCCTATGTTACTCACAAATCATCAGACTAGTCGATTTTGGACTACATCAATACATACAAAAGTACAAAACTTTCTTCTTTGTAATAGTATTAATTTACAGTCAAATACTGTAATAAATACTTCGCTTCATAACCATTGCTTACAATTTGTCAGATGTCAGAATGTAATGGAATTTAGAATTTAACCATATTCTTAACAAGTATGCGGTAACACACTAATTTTAAAGTCACTTTAATTATTCTCATACTTATCTTGCATATTGTAGACAAGAAGGTATTACAAAACATCATCTCCCCTGCCTTATCGTACTCCCGTAGGGTCGGGGCACCGGGTTTTCGTCCTCCAAAGCATTCTATCATCCGTCATCTCAGTCATCACTCCCTTCTCGATCATGTTACCTTTCAAAACAATTTGTTGGAAAAATTTATTTTGTGGCTTTAACAATTATTAATGAAGTAATAAAGTATTATTAATAAATATTACAGATTACCCAGATTTGAAACAAGATAAGAAGCGAATGGACCATTTTACGTCACTATGCATGGTTCTGTTTGAGTTCCTCAGAGATATATCTCTGCCTAACACTGTTGAGTTAATGGGGATGTATGGTAGAGTAAGTATGACTTACACTTTTGACCATTTTCAATCTTAAGTTATCGGTGATTTTATATGAGGTATAATAGAAAATACATTCAAGTTAAAATTGCCTGTTTATTTTTTATACTTTAGTAGGGCTGGTTTAATAAATGATTTTAAGACAATTTTTAATCTGAATCTACTTGGTTAATACCTGTTTAATATATATTCTAATTATGATTGTAAAAAATTTTTACTGAAGAATGCAAAAAAAAAATAGCAATTTTTTGTTGTAACTAAATTTTTTTTATTAATGTTGGGATTTTATAAAAAAAGACTGAAGAAATAATTGAATTACGTATATTTATTTATAGTTTGAGTTTAAATTGTATGTTTAGTTGGCATACAATCCAAAAACTTTTTTAATATCTTTTTAAAAATGTCTTTTCAGATGGTAATTAATAGTTTTACAATATTGGACATAGATATGAATTCTATTGGGACTGGTATATATTTGGCGTCCTCTATTGTGGACCACAGCTGTGGTCCTAACGCCGTGGCCACTTTTGACGGCAAGACCATTAATATCAGAGCCATTCAGGATATGCCCAGCTTGGATTGGAACCAGGTAAGATATAACGTAACATGAATTTGAAAAAAAAAATGACCACTGACATGTAATATTTGAATATACTGAAAAAATAATAAAAAAAAAATTATCAAAATCGGTCTACTAGCGGCGGAGTTAAGCCGTAACAGACATAAAAAAAAACATACAGACGACTTGAGTATCTCCTTCTTTTGGGAAGTCGGTCAAAAAAAGTTATGTCGAGTGAGATTCGAACTCGTTTTTTTCACAATTATGTTTTTTTTTAATTCTCACTTACCCTGTAGGTGTTTTGTTATCTTGACTGATATTAAAAATGCGTTTAGATGGATGGATGTTTGTTAGACTTCTGTTTTTTAAATCCACACGGACGGAGTCGATAGCAAAAGCTAGTACTAGTAAAGACCAAAGTGAGTCTATGTGTTCTACATTTATACTAAATTTCATCGAGATCCGTTCAGCAGTTTAGACTACAATCATCATCACCAGCTCACTATACGTCCCCACCGAGTGGCTCCGAGCCTACCCTAAAGTTAGGGTGACTAGGCCATAGTCAACCACGCTGGCCAAGTGCGGGTTGGTCGACTTCACACATATCTTTGAATTTCTTCGCCGATATGTGCAGGCATCACGATGTTTTCCTTCACCGTAAGAACGTCGGGTAAATTATGTACATGTGAAAATTCGAAAAATTGAAAATCACATTGGTACGGCGGGATTCGAACCCAAGACCTGTAGATTACAAGTCAAGTGCTTAAACCACTGAGCCACCGACGCTCGCTTAGACTACAAACATCCAATTTAATTTTCGCATTTATAATATTAGTAAGACAGATGTAAAAAAACTTAGATAGTATTATTTCTTCTAGATACGTATATCGTACATAGATTTGCTGAAAACACCACGAGAACGTCAAACAGAACTTCTCGAGAACTACTACTTCTTGTGCGAATGTGACAGGTGTATTGGTAAATGCTTTAAATGTGCTACTAATTATTTAAATGCATGAACAATACAAAATCTTTACACAAAGTACGGCGGACTACTGAAACGATATTTCGTTAAGTGGACATTTTAATAGTATTTGGGTTTCAGCATGGCCTTATCTATTAAACAGATTGTCCCAACACTCACTGATAGAGCCTCAGATATGATGACACTTCAGAGAAGGGAACAAAATCTGATATTTCCATCATTTACAAGTTGGATTATCAGACAATTTACAATTTGGTGGGACAGGCCCTAAATGTCGGTTTGGTATTCGGCCATAGCTAAGAACATTATTTAGTGTAGATTAAAATGTGTGATGGAAATATCGGATTTTTTTCCCTTATCTGACAGTGACGTCATTTTTAAGCTATCTGAGCCTCTATCAGCCAGTGGTAGGACAGGCCCTATATAAATGAACTATTCAAGTAATATTTAAACTTATAGATAATTTAAAATGTATACCGTTGTGTACCTTTTGTATAAAGATTTTTATTGAATGTTGTCTCATGTTGTGATATCTATTTTACTTTTCTTTATTTAATTATTTTTTTAATAATTAACAAGATTTTCGATTCTATACAATACACCATCTATGTTTCTTTAAAAACGTTAGTACAAAAATAGAAGTCTTTCTTTTCAATATTTTGATATAAATCTAATAAAAAAATATGACATTATTAATAAAAAAACATTCTCCGCTATCATATATTTAAAATGCATTATTTTTTCAGGTGATATACAAACAAAAATAATACACGCAGCTAAATGTCCAAATACGAAATGTGACAACCCTATCAAAATACCTTGGAAAAATTGTGAATTGGTTAAAAAATCAATGGACCATAGTAAAAATAATGGAATAGAGAATGGAGATAGCAATAAGAGTGAGATAAAAGATTCAGAATGCAGCGGTGGGAGTGAGATAGATGAGATAGAATGCAGCGCGTGCGGATCGAAATGCACAGATAAATATATAGAAGTTTATAAAAAGGCTATGGAATTTACGGAAATGCATTTGCAAAAAATGAAAGGTTCTTCGGTTGCATGTATCCTTTAATTCGTTTTTAATTATGTTTTTTATGTCTGGCTGTTTTTTAAAATGATGCAATTCTCTGAAACCATATTTTATTAGAAGCACTTTTAAATGTGTATTAACTCGTAAAATGCCACCAATTCGTATAGAAGTTGGCATGCAAAAGATGGTAGCGGCATAGATTGTGTTTAAAATTAGAATTAAAATTAAAATATTGGTTTTGAAATAATATTTACTATTGTCTGTTACACAAGGAGTATAAAATTACACTTTAAAATCAACAATAAAAGAAATAAATCGGTTAAATAAATCAAAAATGGTTAGTCGAATTTAATAAATGACAAACATAAGTTTTCAATTCAATTGCATTCAACTATAGGTATTTACTCTTAAATATTGACTCTTCAATATGAACATACCAACCCATATATAACTCTGAAAAGATTCAATTTTCTTTAAAAAAATTAGACAACATATAATGTTTTGGAATTAGAGAGTAAATTTACTATTATCCCCCCTTGATTACCCCCCTAAATTAGCTATAGCAGCTAAGAATTATCTTAATAATTCCTAAACACAGTAATTCAGATGTGGATGTATGTAAGTTTTGTTTGGAGAAGCAAGAAGGTGTTCTTCATCCACTAAATGTGCTCCACGCACAGACTCTTGACCACGCGTTTGATGCACTCATACAAGTACAGTTATGGGAGATAGCTTCTATTTATGCTGAAAAACTTGTACATTGTTTTAAGTAAGTTTCGAATAGTATTTCATCTACCAAAGACATTTAATAACATAGATTAGACACGTGAACAAAATTTTTTCATTGGTTTGTTCTCTAAATATAATAAAGCACAAAATAATGTTTAAAATAAAATATAAATATTTAAATAAAATAATTTTTAACAATTTATTAGCAGGCAATGGTTATTATGTACAAATATTAAGTTGTGCTGATTATGCCTCTTCTATATATTTTAATCTGTCATGTCCCCATACTTAACTCCTGTAAGTTGCAGTCGGTTTATTTATCTTTTTTTATGCTCCAGATTTTATTATGGCGAAAGACATCCGTTACTGGGTTTGTTACATTTGAAATACGGCAAAATATTGCTGTACAAAATGGATCTGCGAAAAGCCTTAGAACAACTGAAATTAGCGGAGAAAATACTGAAAATCACACACGGCGACCGACATCCGCTGTACAAAGAACAGTTACTGCCATTGCTAAGTCAAGCTATGATCGAATGTTAGAGAATTTATCGTAGTTTGGTAATGTCAATTATTTTCAAACATACGTATCAGATATTGTTGTGTAATAAAGACAAATAAATCATAAGACTTTTTTTTGGAGTTGTTTTAATTGACGAGATGGAAAAATACGCTGTAAAAAATGCTTAATTTGTATCAACTTCTACGATGTCTTTATTATCTGTTGCCGACCAAGCATTATCATCGTAACGAATTATTTAAGCAGCTCCTGTGATTTTTTATACTCTTTTCCCCGGGAAGAGATCGTTTTGAAACGACAGAAAAAAATCTATTGGTTTCTACTTTTTACATTTAGTAAAAAAGTTAAAATGTGAACATTTTTTAATGCTGGCAACATATTGACTGACCGTTTTGATTCAAAATTCAATCGGGTTATCGATTAGGCAACACTATTCCATCAATAGTGATGTACGCTTTCTATCGACATTAATTTTACATTTGCAATCGGTTTTTATTTCATTTATTCGAAATCGATTTTGAATGTTAAACCGATATTTTAAATTCAGAACATCAAAAACGTTACTACTTGTAATTCGCTCAACAGTCTTATGGAATTTCAAAAAGGAAATGTGTTACGCTGTGATAAATACCGTGTTTTTTCTTTCTTTACTATCTATTTTACTATTCGTAGAAAAACACAATATGATGGTTTCACTGTACCTAACAAAATCTTGATAAAGCGAATTTAATGACGAGTATCTTTACAAACTTATAACTTTCCAATAAAAAGTTTTTAAGGCAGTTTATAAGTATTTAATATTGTTTACACAACACTACTTAAATAATATCGTCGCCATATACTATGCTTGCGCAACGAGCCAAAGTCGATGACATTTCGATTTCGAAAATCAGTTTTAAACGCACATCACTAAACAGCGTTTATTTATATGCTGTTGTCTGTTTCAAATTTTGATTTGCTATTAAATAGAGCAAAGTCTAATTTTAAATTATTTGTGCATACTAATCGTTTAAAACAATCCCATAACAAGTTTGTGTAACGTTAAATCTGTTTGTGTTAGTTATTATCTAGTGCATATATGATAATCAATTGCGCTGCTGCGCTATCGGGCATGTCAAATTTAGTCAAATGGTCCCTAGCAGTCGGGTGGTGTAGTAGTCTCGCGGATTTCGAAGTGTGTGAACGACGACAAATCAATAAAATGGTCCGTTGATCATTTACTTTTAACTGGACAAACAATCTAGTCCTTTCTTCCATTAGTTTATTTCTATAATTGGACAAAGCAAGTTGAACGATATACAAAATGTTTAGTAAGCCATACGAAAAGAGATTGGTGCAACAGTGCAGTCCAGTGAGCAAGAAGGAATCGGTGCTCGTGCGACCTGAAGTGATGGACAGATTTATACCTTGTCGTCCTGATAATAATTGGCAGACCAGCTTCCAAGGTATGTTAAAGACTTCATAAATACCTTTCGTAATGACAATTTCTCGTGTAAATAAGTAAACATAAGTTTTCCTGAATTATATATAATGGTGTTATACTTGATATTTTTTTTAACTGAATACTGCATATGCCAAGTATTTAACTATAAGATATCAACTCAACAAATCAACACTGAAATTTATTAGTATATGCATATTGATTAGATTGTGCAATCTAGGAACTTGGGTTTACTTTAATATTTAATTACAAAATTTCTTACACTTATTTCAACAATGATAAATTGTGTAATACCCACTTACAATAAAAAAATCATGTATCTGAAATGTATAAACATTTATTTTAACATACTGCCTGATTAAGTGTACTTACTTTGATGCTATAAACTCTATAAAAAAGGATTTACTAATCAATATTGTGATTTTATATTTCCATAAAATTATATTATAGCTGTTACATCCTCGATACTTATCATATTATCTTACTTGTCATATAAGGCCTAATGTAGTCCCTCTTCCTTTCTACCCTTTTCTCATGAGGAACGGATGAGAATGAAAAGTGGATTTGACAGTGGAGGAGATGCACAGGAAAGTGAAACATCCTGTTTATGTGTGTCTCCTCATCCATCAATTAAGGGTATGTAACGCATCTGCAATTGCAGATGTCTATGGGCAGCGGTCAGCGATTCAGGTGGCCAATTGCTCTTTTTGCATCTTACATTATATAAAAAAAAATACTTAAACCAATTCTTAACTATAGTCATGAATTGAAATGTCTGTATAGAAAATCATTGAATACCAATATTTTATCTGTAATTTTTGAGTTTATATGATCAGATAAAGTAAACACAACTTTGTTTTGTACTTTGTTACAATCAAGTTATATCCTAATAAAAGTGTATGTGTACATTTTAATACTTAGAGTTGGCTCCGAGACCTACAATCAAAGTGTAGTGATCGGATCATGTTTTTAGGTATAAATGTTGCAAGCAAAAATAATAGATTCAAGTGGTCTATATAATATAAATGCAGGTTTTCTCATCTCTGTCTTCATCTAACTTCTGTGGGATCGGAGCACAACGTTTTATAAACCGTGATGGTATGGCTTATTTTTTATAACCAGCCAGCTGCTAAATAAATTCAAAATAGGTATTTGTTTCAAATAAATAAAGAAAAAAAACAGCTTAGTAAGTTTACTGTTTATAATTTAAAAAAATGTTATTTCATGTTGAAAATTTGATTCTGATATGTTGTCATTTGAAACTATTTGTTGTAATTTCACATCAAATCATCTAAGGACATTAAAACTTGACCTATAGAGGATGTTTGTTCCAATCTTTTTCTCAAATACAAGTAATTAAATTATACTCTGGGTCATATGTAAGGATTGCTTATTGGGTTTGGCCATAATGGAGGTTCTGTAGACTCCGTTTTGTTCCTGACATCCTTTCTTCTTCACTCAGAGATCAAAGCATCATGATTTATACTTTTATTTATATAAGATAAGTTAGTTACTTCACATTATCTAACTTATTGGTAATACAGGTTTTTTAAAGTTGTAACTTAGTTAACACGAAACAGTTTTCACTCATGTTTTCTCATCTCTTAATTATGGTAATTAAAGATTGTAACTCAATCATTAGATAATTATTATGTTGCAATTTATTTACTAGGAAGTACTTTACTAAATAACATAAAAATAATAAAACAAACCTCATTAACATGTTACATAAATGGTCATATTTACATTGCCTAATGTATAATAGGGTATCAATGGAAATACATTTAAAATGACTTGACTAATAATAATAAATAGCAGTTGGCCGCGACTTCGTCCACGCAATATTAAGATAAAAAAGTGGTCTAAAATATGCCCATCTATGTCAGCAACCCTTTAGTGAAAGTCTGGTTGAAATCGGCCCAGCCATTTTGGACATTGCCCCAAACAAATGCGGCTTGATGACAGACAAAACTTTTTTAAATGCGATTTTCCTTATCAGCAATGAACATCATCATCTATCTGTCAATCAATCTGCAGTTTTCTTTAGATGTTACAAAAGACAATCCAATTTTATTACATGTAAAGATAACTAAATGTAGCAACTGTTCTAAATATAGTTTTATTTTGTTATTTGCAACTTTGTAGTAGTAGTAGTAGTAGTAAATTCAATTATTTGTTTAGAATTTTAGGATCAGTTACAATTTTCATTGTTATGTTAGAAAGTTTACAAACATTCTAATAAGATAATTTTGCTATATCGCTGTACAGATCTTGATAAAATTTGCCATAGTTGTAGAGCATAGTCTGGAAGAACTTATATGCTACTAATTAAGTTTTTGTTAAATGACATGCAATAGAGAAAAAGCTACTTTAATAATAAAGTGAGATGTATTATTTCTTTTCTCTGAAGGACATATTTGGTTAATTTTGTTTGAGTTATTAAGGGCCTGTCCCGCCACAGGCTGACAGAAGCTGAGATAGCTTAAAAATGACGTCACTGTCAGACAAGGGAACTAAATCCGATATTTCCATAACATATTTTATGCATTGGATTGTTATTAGACAATTTACAATTTGGTAGAACAGGCCCTTAATCTTCAAGAAGTTATGCACGAAAGATGTCCAATGTCCAATTACGCACTTATTTGCTATAATTAATTGAAATTATTAGTTTAACAGTATTTATCTAGGAAGCAACACTCAAATGTAATAGGTAATGTTGCCAGCTATCGTACTTCATACTAATATTATAAATGCGAAAGTTTAGATGGATGGATGTTTGTTATAGTTTATAGCCTAAACAGCTAAACGGATTTCGATTAAATTCGGTACAGATGTAGAGGATACGCTAAAGAACATATAGGTTACTTATTTTGGTTTTCTTTTAATTCCACACGGACGGAGTCGCGGGCCAAAGCTAGAAGCTCCATAAAAAAGTTTCAACATGCAAGCTGTCATTACGGCACCATTACAAAATTCTCAAATCATTGTCATTACATTGTTACTATCGACCAGGTAGCAAAAAGACAATAACTTTTGGCTTATTGACTTTTGATTGGTTACTACTGGCACTTGATAAGTTTTTTTT